TTATAACTCAACCGAATAAATATTTTTTAAATTTTATTTTCAATTATTATATAAAATTGTATCATATTATTCATATATAACATACAATACTTACTTTTGTCCAAAATTGAATCAGACCTAAATACGACTGTGGATGTCGGATTCACATACTCAAGTATTTATTTATTCGTGGGTTAAAGCTCTCAAGATCAAAATACAAGACACAAAATGTATGGAAAATAGTATCAAAATGTAATCAAAAACGTAGAGAGAAAATAATATAGTATTGGCTTTGTAGCAAGAATTCGATGTACCAAAAATAGTATAATTTCTATAAATCGCTTGACTAGAGAGACAAGTTGCGTACGTACCCGAAATGGGATCAAACCTAAACGTATTTTGAATACAAAAAAGAGAAAGTATTTAGTATTTTTCTGTATAATAATATTCTTAAAGGGTATCTAACATAGAAGACAAGGATCTCTATTCTTGGAGTTTTCACCTCTCTTTTATGGCCATTAATTATAAAATTAACTTACAAAATAACTTTTATGGTAATTATTTCATAAACTTGAATGACAAGTTTATTTCTTTGATCATGGCAATTAATCCATGAATTGAATCACACATTAATGTCAAGATTTGACCACTTCCTTTGTGCAAAATGGGTCCTCTTGGGATTCGTAAATAGATGGACCTTCGATGTACTAAAATAATCCGGGTTACAATACGATGAGTTGGTTTTGAATCAATTTATAGTACCAAGATTCGTGTTAGGTATCATCGTTAAATCTCTAACTCACTTAATTAACGTTATTAGGGTCAAATCAGACTTGGTAATATTGTATTGATTTGCATTTTTTTAAATTAGAGGGTAAAGTTACAAAAATATTTTCTTTGGAGGGTTTTTTTTTTGCAGAAATAAAACATCATTTAATAATGTTTAAAATACAATTCAGCCAATCATAAAAATTAAAAAGAAAGACTCTAGAATTCAAAAAATCAAAAATATCAAATAACACTAAAAAGAAAATAACATTAAAAACTAAATCTTATAAAAAGAAAGCATAATCTTCTTAGACATATTATAATATGTCCACATAAAATAAAGACAAAATTCTATAAAAGTATACATATTTTCACCACTAAAAAAATCAAATTAATTGAAAATATCTTTAATACGGACTTCGCAAAACCCATTTCAATACAATGGGCTCAATTTCCAAGTGGCCTTCCCTTTCTTTCTTCTCTTAGGAGGTGTTATTCATTGATGAATTTTAATAGAATTGAAATCCAACACTAATCTAGTGTTATTCAACTAATGATTTTAAATCCAACTTTAAAATCTGGTATTATTGGATCTTATATTTGTAAATCATATTTAATAGATTTTAAAGTTTGGTGTTATTCAACTAAATATTTAAAATACATCATTAAAATCAAGTGTTATTAAAAACTAAAAGACTTGTAAAATCTTTGTATATTAAATTATTTGAAATGAAACCTCTTTGGAGTTTCATGAGTAAATCTATACTAGTTTTTTGCAGTCACTTTTGAGTCGGGTGGGTAAAATTATTCTCGGATACTTTGGATACCTGACCCGTTTACAAATTTTAGTCATAAGAAGTTTGTTGGGTCGGGTTATATTTAACCCAAATGATACACCGGATATTTCTATTTAATAATTTAGATATTTAGAAGATTTGATAAAGATTTAGAATTATGCTTCTCCTATCATCTTTGTTTGATTTGTTTTAAACTGTTTTAAATCATCATATAATACATAAAGTAAAATGTATATATTGTGATTCGAAATTTTAAAAACGGACATATATTATCCAATTTACAAAAATGTGTGTTCAACGTTCCACATCGATTAAAATATTTAGACAATGATTCAAAATTATATCATAAATAAAATCAACATTAATAAAATAAATGGGTTTTTTGGTGGGACGGGTTTGGCGGAATAGGTTTTTGAATCAACAATAATAAAAAAATTAAAATATCATTAATCCGCCACTTCAATACGGATTAAATCCTTAATGTTTTTAATATCACCAATATTAGACATATCAAATCAGTCTTTTTTAGAAAAGATTGTATAAAACCAAAAATTGTCCCGTGTTACAATGTTACTTAATAACAATTATAAACTATAAAATATAAATGACTTAGAGAATGATACAATTTGCAAATTTTTATATTTAATAAATAATCGTTAAAATTTTAAAGTTATTACTTTTAGAAAACAAATTATGGGATAGGTTAAGAAATTACAGGACGGGTTATATTTCAGAACGGGGTTATATGGTGGACGAGTTTGAATCAATATTTATAAAATATTAAAATATCATTAACATGCCGCTTTAATACATATTAAATCTTCAGTTTATTAAAATATAAATGTCTTAGAGAATGATACAATTTGTAAACTTTTATATATAAATAATCGTTAAATTTTTAAAATTACTACTTATAAAAAACAAATCACGGGACGAGTTAAAAAATTACAGGATGGGTTATATTTTGGTATGGGGTTATATGGTGTACGAGTTTGAATCAATATTTCTAAAATTTTAAAATATCCTTAACATGCCGCTTTAATACAGATTAAATCATCAGTTTATTAAAATATAAATGTATTAGAGAATGATACAATTTGTAGACTTTTATATGTAATAGATAATCATTAAATTTTAAAATCACTACTTTTAGAAAACAAATCACGGGACGGGTTAAGAAATTATGGGACAAGTTATATTTCGGAACGGGTTTATATGGTGGATGGGTTTGAATCAATATTTATAAAATTTTAAAATATCATTAACATGCCACTTTAATACGGGTTAAATTCTCAGTTTATTAACAATTGTCCCGTAAACTCGTGGTATACCGTCACTTAATAAATATTATAAACTATAAAATATAAATATTTTATAAAGAAATACAATTTGCAAAATTTTATATATACTAATTTTAGAAAAAAATCATCCCGCGGTATACCGCATGTTAAAATCTAGTTATTAGAATTCAAATCTAAGATATACTGCAAAGATTTTAAAATCCACACAAACATCAATACAATAATAACACTAAGAATCTCTCCAGGCCTGACACATCAGCATTTTGGGCTATTCTCAGCTTGACACCTCATTAAAATCATCATCCAATTAAAACATTTCAAATAATACACATCAGCTCTCCAGCTTGACACCTCAGCTTCCCAGCATGCCACATCAGCTTTTTTTATTATTATTAATAAGACATCATTTTAAAAAGACAACCAATCAAATTAAAACAAATAATACAGACAATGATTTTAAATTTTTTGATAATGATAAATGAATTTCTAATTATTTTAATAATTCAATATTTACAAAAGAAAAAAAAAAATTATCCTCTTTATTTTTGAAAAATATGTTTGCCATCAAGTGGTTTTTAGAGAACAACATACATGAGGTGAATTTAACAAATAGTTTACACCGTGGGTAATTTTTGTAAATTAATTTTGTTTTAATATACGTATTTATAGTAAGAATTTAAAAGGTTCTTTGGATATTGCATTTTACCTTTGCTCGTATTATAATTGTTTTTATTTATTATTTTATATATGCATACACGAATAAATAATTGTCTATCTTACTTTTACAAAAGAAATGTACCGTATAGTTAATCTTTGTATTTGTTTGTTGTTATTTTATGTTTTTGTTTATATTTTACGAATGTTAGATATGTTTTTATATTGTGATATATGTAAATATTTTTCAACAATTATTATACTTCAAAAACCTTAGATTATATATGTTAAAATTATTTTTGCTACACAAGCATAATTTGAAATCATAGTAAAAATATTTAATATGCCTTTTGTTTTTTTTTTTTTAATAATTTTGTTACCACTAGCCAAGTGAAGTTTGCAATTGCATTTTGACTTATCTTGGATTTATGCTCTTTTTGTTGTTTGTAAATTTGGCGAAAACGTCACAAATGTTATTCATTAATTGGTTATTATTATTGATCTATTTTATAAGAGTATATAATTTAGCATAACAAAAAGTTGAGAATAAACTCTGTATTTGTGGTTTATGTTTTGAATGAAGGTGATCTAACGCCGGCTCAAATACTTGATCTACTCTATTGCAAGAACCTTAATGGTAAATAATTTTAGAGAAAGACAAGGAGAAAGATGGGATTCCAAGGTTCCCCTAAAATGTTAAGAACCGTATGATCGTCATTCTGTAACTGTTTATCATTGAACATTCTAATTTGAAGTCATGAACCAAGTTATATTAACCAATGTTTATGAATTATTTAGCCTATCTATTTTAAAACCCATAACGTAACAAAGCATGGTCCATCTTTTTCGATTTCTATATTTTCATGGATTTTCGTAACTTGTGTTTAGTTAACTTTATCTAATAAGTTTTTCCAGAGAGATTGATATCTCTTGTGGTCGACAAGCTGATTGATTTCAACAGTAAAGTCAAAGTAATAAACTTTCTTATTCTTGCATGTTCTTTATGTTATCTTATATCCTGAACCTATGTAGATAACCTTGTTTGTATTTCTTATGGCAAAGCAAAAATGAAGGGTATGTCGTCAAGTTCTTAAACAAGTATACAAAATTGTAATTATATTGTTTACGGTAAACATACATTTTTTTATGAAGGGTGTGTTTTTTTTTTCAAATCATTTTTCTTTTATTTTTGTTGTAATTATATTGCTTTGGTTAAAAAATTTAAAAAAATACCCCGCAGCGTAGCGCGGGTGTCGACCTAGTATTCTTAAAAACAATATGACAAAGCAAATATAAACCTTAAGACTTTAACACCCCTTAATCTTTTTCCTTCTCCGATTCAGACTTGATAATGGGCTTTGCAACATAATGGGCCTTCCCTTCTTCTTCCTCCCTTTCATCTCCTTCCTTCTCTGCTTAAATCCAGATTTGATAAGAAAAAAAAAACGGCTTTCTTCTTCTCGCTCTGGTCTTCTTCGATCTTCCTTCTGCTGGTAACTCCCGAAACTTTTTGATCGGGAATCGAAATTCACTGTATGGGAAATGAGAGTTGATTACAGTTAGCTGGAAACCCTAATTTCTGGGGATTTTTTTGCATTTGATTGTATTGTGGTCTCCTCTAGTTGGAATTACTTGAAGATCTTCTTCTCCTTGAATAAATAGGTTTTTCAATTAGCTTCTGTTGATAATTTCCATTGGTGTTTTTTTGCACTATTCAAGTTTCTGAAGTAGTTTTAGATTTGAATTTAGAATTTTTGTAGCAGCCAATGTTGAATTTTACTGGATATTGTTTCAGGATGGCACATTCTTTGAGTTTCATTTCGACCAACTTGAACAGTTTAGTCCTTCATCATCATCAGTGGCAGAGTTTCGGAACTTTGGTGTCGTCGCCATTTAAACCTAAGAGGAGATTTGCAAGAAGCATTAGAGCTTTGCAAGAGCCAACTCCGAGAAGATTGATAGACATTATAAGATCAGTTCCTGAAATCTCTAGGAATTATTTCAAGAAGCCTTCAAGAAGAACGCTTTTCGGAGGAATCTCGTTGTTGGGTGGGTTTTATGTTGCGCAGACTATCTCTCTGTCGTTTGGAGCTTTGGGAGTGAACGATGTTATCGCTGCGGTTTTATGTGTTCTTTTGACAGAGTATGTGACTAGATTCTATTATAGCCGCACCACAGTCACATTTCCGATTGCTCTGCTTAATAATTTCAAGATGGGTTTCACTTATGGTCTCTTCATTGACGCGTTCAAGCTGGCTAGCTAAGTGTTTGCAAGCAGAAGTACAAGAGATCCAAAGTGTCGATGTAAAGGTTAAAATCAAGGTTTTGGAATACTTCGAGAGCTCTATTGAGTGTTGTTATACATGTTTTTTTTTCCTTGATGTAATTTGTTATCATAATTTTGAATAGAAGCAACCAAAAACTTTGATGTTTCAGAGAATCTCTAGTATGCTAATAGAGTAAAGGGTCTTAGGCCATCTTCTTTCTGGTTAGACATGTCAAGTACAACGTGTCCTGGCGTGAGCAGGGAAAACGGTGAGTACACTGCAAAGCAAATGTCCACAAGAGAAGTAGCTAACGAACATGATGGATGGATGAAAGAAGGCATTCTTGATGAACTGGCTGAAGAAGTGTATCCTCCCAGAGAAGCATTAGACTGAGGATTGTTGAACAAGAATGGAGATTGAAACGCGTATGTTTCTATGACAAGACATCCAATTCCCACTCTGCAAAGCCTATTTCACTAGGTAAAATCTTGTATCTCCCAATCCACTGGTAAAAATGGTTTAATACTTAAAGCCACATAGTTGTCGTATTTGCTCCTAGAATGCTTCAACTATTTGCTCAAGATCCTGAGGCGGTATCGTTTCGAGATTCTGAGGCGATATCGTGTTCCTACGTGGGCTTTCAGAGTCCTTATCATAATTTTCCGGGTTCCACACAATCACACCGCCCCACATCGGAGATATGAAGCCATTTGATTCAGATATCTCCCCATTTGGCAACTGCAGGTGAAGAGGAATGAGGTCATTCTTTCTCTGATGGAATCTATACCACAAACTGCAACATTTTGAACCGGCCACTAGCTCCAGAAGAAGTATCCAAGTGCCATTTGTTTGAGTTCACTAATAAAGGGGAGATCAATGGTCCTAAAGATGTAGCTCTGAAGTATTTCATCTTTAGTATATTTGTTTGCTTTTGTTTCTCTTACGCTATATGCTTTTGTACTTTCAGGTAAGAAAATCAATGATATTCCTAGTTGGTAATTTCTGAGTAGAGCTAAGACATAACAATCCAAATATACTCAAGTGAGAATTGAAAGTGAAATTTATCCAATAATAGACCGATAAATAGCAAAGTTGAAAGAGATTAATAACCAAACCCATTTGTTTTTGAGTTTGTTACTTTAACAATGATGAAACTCAATGAAACTTAGGTAGAGGTTTTATATGTACAGAAAACCTCAGCAGCAGAATCAGCAATTTTAAATCTGAACAACAACATAAAATGCTTTTGATGAATTCTCAATGTTTCCGTCTTTCTCTTACGCAATGTGCTTTCTGCTCTTTGCCCAGAACGGTATTGCGGGTGTACGCTTGAGAGCCTTCACGCTCAACGGACTGTTCTTGCTCTGCCAAATCACAACAATTCAAAATCAGTAAACATTTTGATAAAAACTCAATGCTCTTGATACCAATAGTGATATAAAGAAACTAACCATCAAACAGGTTCCGCGGTTAACGTCACAAACCGGGTACTCATGAGGACAGCAACTTGAGTGATCATCGCAGCAAGTAGCAGATTCAAGCGGGCAACATCCCCAACCGAAGCAGTACTTACCATACTTGTAGAGACAACAACAAGTGTTGCTCTCAGGGCAAGAGAAATATTTGTCACACGTGGTTGGTGGCTTAATGGGAGATGGCGGTGATGGGCCAGGGTTTGGTGGGTTCTGACCTTTCTTGATCGGATACGAAGCCTCCATCGCTATTCCACACTTTCCTGTTGGCTCTGCAATGTTACGTGCCATCTTTATGTATCCGCTCTCTCCCCATCTGTTTCCCCATGAGTTTCTCACAATCCAGTAGTCCTTTCCGTTCTCAGTTCCGTAACCCACAGCCACAACACCGTGGTCTAGCTCCGTTCCACAGATTCCGTCAAACACACCCTGAACACAAAATAACCAACCAACATTTCAACATCTTGAAATCAAGATAAAGCAAATGGTTGTCTAGCAGTTTTTTGAACAATACATACCGAAGAATAGAGCTGGAAAGCGCGACCACCAGCTTCAATGGCGACACTAACGGGCTGGTGAGCCAAAGCTTTCTTTAGAGACGCCTCGCTGTTCTCAGGCACATCTTCATACGAATCAATGGTAACAACCTTAGCATTTTTCTGCAAACATAACAAAACAGTAAATTTCAATTTCAAACCCCATTGTTTTGAGGTTCATTTCATAAACTAAACTAAACTAACCCTGTTCTGGTCACAACGACCATCAGCAGCCTTGTAAGGATAATCCTCTTCGGTATCGATACCGCCATTTTTGATAATAAACTCAAACGCATAATCCATCAAACCACCATTACAACCTTGGTTATAAGATGTGTCACAATCAACCAATTCTTGTTCAGACAAAGAAATTAAATCTCCTGTCACAATCTTGTTTATTCCTTCCACGGCCCCAATAGTTGAAAATGCCCAACAACTCCCTAAAGAACAAGAAGATTAGTTGTTATTATCAATCAAATTGTCATAATCTAACACTAACACATACCAAATCATCGTCCCTACCACTCCTTTAAATTCTTGAATAAAGCAAATCTCGTAATGGGTCCATAATAATGTCCCACTACCACTCTAAAGTTTAAAGACAATAAGGTCCCAAAAAATCATTAATTTTCTCAGATTTGAACACAATTATTCACCTCCATTGATTCAAAATATTCGTTTTGCGAAACGTTCACCTAAAATTCAACATTTGATTTTGTTGTATAAACACAAAATATCATCTAACCATAATTATTCATCTCAATAAATTCAAAATCTTGGTTTTTCGAAACGTTCACCTAAAAGAAAAAGTCAACACTTCAGACCAAACTCATCATTCCCCAGACAAGTTTCAAGATATGTCTGAAAATATTTATCAATTAAAAAAAAAGATTTATGAAACAATCCAAGATTTTTCGATAATTTTTACAAAAACCCATTTCAATACTCGAAAAAAAAACTGATTCATCCGTTAAAAAATTCAGGAATTTGTGGGATTTTTTTCAGATTCGAAATTTACGATTTTTTTTTTTTGTTAAAATCTAAAAAATAATAAAATCAGAACAAAAAGATTTTATTCTTACCACAGCTTCCTTGATCTTTAACATCGGCGACGGCACCTTCTTTTCTCCAGTCAACGGAATCAGGAAGCGCGTCACCAACACGCGCTTCATACCGATCACTGGTTTTCAAAACTCTCTTCACCGGTTTAGCACCAAGGTACATAGATCGGTACTCATCATTGGTTAAATCAGCAAACCGGGTTAAACCAAGTTTATAACTGAGGTTTTTGGTGTTATGTTCATCGATGTAACGAAGATTATCTTTAAAGATCTCAAATCTCTGATCTTTCTCTGCACCAAGACCGTTTTGGTTCATCTTCTTCTTCCCATGTTCCACCATCCACGCCTCGTAGATTCTCTCAACCTCCGCGTCGGTACGGCTGTTCACGGTGGAGATGTGGTGGTTTTCGTCGTAGGAGATGATTGACATGTCGATGGCATATGAAACGCCGATCATTGCTAAGAGAAGGATCATCGGAGAGAACTTTAAGAAACCCATTTTTGTTTGAAGAAGAAGAAGATGAATGTAGACAATTGTTTTGATTGAGATAGAGAGATTTGATGGTGGTGTATATAAAGGGGAAAACTCAATTAGTGTCGTAATTAATTATTAATTAATTTTTGTACACTTTTCAAAAAGATTTTAAAATAGTGGTTTTGTTTTTTTTTATGGGCTAGTGGGGTCAATTATAAGAAATGAGGGAGTTAATGAAATAAGATAGAAATAGTGGGGTGAAAATATAATATTTGTAAAGAGTCAATTATCATTTGTTAAAGCCGTCCATATTTTTAAAATCTAGATGTGCATCTACAATTCTACACTCAACATTTTGATTGATTCTCCACATTCATATGTTTATCGTTTCTTAAACTATTTTTACATCCGAAAGTTGCATATCGTTTTACAGTTGTATCTGAATAGTTCTAAACCTGATCGTTTGTAAAAGAAAATATATGTAATTTAAAATAATTTTAGTTAAAGAATAATCGTTATATTTTTTGTGTACTTTTCAAAAAGAATTCGATTTTTATGGGGCTAGTGGAGAAAATTGAAAGAAATGAGGGGGTTAAAGAAATAAGGGAGAGAAGTAGTGAGGTGAAAATGTAAATGTAAAAATTTATGAAGAGTCCACTATTATTGGTTAAGACAATGTGGGAAGGGACAGCTCAGAAGTGCCAAGTGGATATGGTTTGATTGGGTTGGGGTGAAGATAAATTAGAAATATATCTTCTAGTCCCAAGCAAATAGGGGACGTAAATAGAAGCACGTGAAGGATCGGATCGTTTGATGATAGGATTGTAAAAACAAGATTTTCTTTGATTTCCAAACAAGAAGATTCTATTGATAAATGTTGAGAGATAGTAATATAGATTGTACAAAAAAAAAAATGTTGAGGGATAATGTGGATTTTTATATTTTAAGACGAATAGATTAAAAAAGAATAAAAGAAGAAGAAGAATAGTTTACGGGAGAGTTAGGGCCTGACTGGTTTAAACGCAGCGGTTGCGGTTGCGGTTGCGGGAGTTTGCGGAAGCGGGCAGTTGCGGCTTCAAGCGTTACCAAGCGTTTCGAACGACTGGTTTAGCGTTTGAAAATGGGTGCGTTTGCGGGAGTTTTATGACTGGTAAGCCAGCGGGTGCAGTAGCAGTTAAATAAAAAAAATAATCAAAATAAATAAAAAATATTACAAAAAAAAAAACACCAATATATTATTATGATAATATTAGAAATATTGAATATGCTTAATAATTAAAACCATAAATAAAGTACTAAATAATTATTCAAAAATAAAGAAATTTTGTAACAAGATAGTACTTTATGCATCTGGTTTAACATCAAAAATTGCATCAAGTAATGGGACAAACTGTAAATAACGTTGAATTCAATCAAAAAGCAAGTGAGTTTCTATTCGAGAAAACAAACCGAAACATATATTCAATCAAAAAGCAAAGCAATACGTAATGAAAAGAAAAAAAACGATGCCATGAAAAATATTCAAAAAGTTACACATGAGGTGATGAATGAATAAAAGGATATATGATACTTACGTTTGGTTCTTGATTTTCATCAGTTTGGGTGGAAGACATTGAGAGAATAGGGTTTTAGAATATTATTAGGGTTTCTGATGAGAACGTGATACAAAGATGAAAGATATATATAGAATTAATATATATTATAATAATTATAAGTGAACGTTAATTTTTTTTTTTTTTTTTTAAAAAAAATCCAACCGCTACCGCCCGCAACCGCAAACGCTTGCGGGAAGGAGCTTTTGAAATTCAGCGATTTCGAGCGGTTCGAAGCGGTACGGAGCTATTTCTATGATTGGTACCAACCGCTAACAACCGCAATCGACCGCTAGCAACCGCTAGGAGAGTGCTGGCGGGAGAACCAATCAAGCCCTTAGTTCACACTTCACATTGTCGTCTCTATTATTATGATTCCTTGCGAAAATCGTCTCTATTATTATGACTAGATGAATTCCCACGCTACGCGTGAGTTTGTTTTAACAATTGTTACGATAAAAATATGTTAATTGTTTCGCTAATTTATGTTTATTTTTTGTTTGTTATTGTATAATTATTAAAATTAGACTCATAAATTTTTATGGTTAGATTTGTTTTTGACTCTAAATATTAATTTATACATTTTCATATATAATCTGATTATTTTTATATCTAAGATTCTAATATTTGTTCACTATCATGAATACAGACAACAAGAATATAGGATATTATGATCTCAAGAGTTTTCGTATGAAAAGAAGAAAAAGAGTTATTTAAGTAACACTTTTACATTTCATGCTATTGCATATAGCCATATAAGATAAATGGATTTGTCTTGAATTTTGTGGTATATCTAACGTCTCAAAAGCTCATTACTTGAAAAAATTTGCATGTCAATATTATGAACTTACTATAAGACACAAAAATGAAAAGAGAGAATGTCATATGATAAGATATAAACCATGACGTAATAATAAGAAAAAATTCAAAGTAAAATTATTAAACTGATAAGATATTAGGTAGCAAACAACTAAACTATAATATAAGTAATTATTTAGTCATTATCGAGTGATGACCATTGAACATTAATTTTAAAAATTAGAAAAATAATAAAAGTAAAATAAAAGCACCTAAACAAGTTCAGAAAGTGAGTAATTTGATGATATGATTTTCTACACGTGTAAAATGTTTTGCCCTTTTTTTTTTTCCGGGGATCTAATTTTATATGATTTATATCTTCTTTGCAGAATGTTGGTGACGACTCTGTAATAGTGGACTTATGGGCTGATGATAGTAAAGGTTTGCTTACTCATTTATTCTACTTTTTAGTTTCTTCTTATTTTTTTTTTTCCAATGGCATGAAGTAACGTTTACTTTGACCAAAAAATAACTTGCAGGAGAAGATGAGAGCAATCCTAGAAAGGTAATGTGTGGACTTAAAAGATTAAAAATATCTGGACTTACATCTGTAAACTTGTTCTTCGTGAATCTATCAATCTCTTGCTATGTTCACCATACACTTTACGACGCCTACACTTTTAGCCTTGTTTTGATTAGCCAAATCGTGTGCCATTCTATTTTCATTTTCACGCTTAGCTCTAGATAAGATAAGATAAGATGAGAACTTTGGCTATTTGGAAATACATATGGGCTATATGTCTTGGGCTATTTTGTATAGCCCATTTGGCATTCATAATTAGATGATGATGTGTAAAAAATTAAAGCTGACTCATATTAACGAAATGTTTTGATTGGATGTCTAGAAAGCTGATGTGTCAGCTCCACAATAGCTAAAAATGCTGACGTGTCACTCTCCTGGAGAGAGTTAGCCTCCTTTTAAGTATTTGATTCCTTGCGAAAATAAAATACTAATGTAAATGTTGATGTATATTTAATATCTTAAGTGTTATAAATAATAACTTAAACAAACATATATATGTATATATGTATGAGAAAAGAGAATACGTGGGAGAGAAAAGAGTTGGAATAATGACACACACACATCTCTCTATTATTAAGTTTCTCTCTTCTCTCTCTAGTTTCTTCTCTCCTTGTTATTACTCTCTCCCTCTTACAATGAAACGATGGAACATATATATAGGAGGATTTCTAGATTGGATAAGATAAAGGTAGAGTAGCTTGGGGAGAAAGCAATTTAACTACTTGGGGAGTAAGTGATATTGGATAATTATCCATTATTTTTCAACACTCCCCCTTAATTATCCATTATTGCGTACTGCCTCGTTAAAAACTTTATCATGGAAAAACCGTATAGGATAAAAACCATGATAAAGGAAAAGAGTACAGTAACACAATCTCCCCCTCGAACAGACGAATCTTGTTCTCTTTATAACTTTCGTAGATGATACATCTCGAGTATTCTCTTCACTTCTTCTGATCTCGTCAATATATGACAAAGATTTTTGAAGAGAGATAGACCTTCACTTTGATATCTATCTTTTGCGTGTTATTTGCTGCCTCGTTAAAAATCTTGTCATGGAAACACCCAGTGGGATAAAAACCATGATAAGGGAAAAAGAGTGCAGCCACGCTCACCATCATATGTCTCCCCCTGGAAGCATCATCTTCAAAGGATGCATTTCGATATGTGAAGATGTTTTCTTAATGTTGCAGCAGGAAGCGCCTTTGAACTGAAACTGCTACATTGTTTCTTGGCCGGATGTACTGAACATCAACTTCTTGCTTCTTCTCAGATTCTTGAGTGCATGAGAAGAATATTGGAGAAATATGTCTTGTCATCTCGCTTTTGACATATCTTCCTTTGAGTTGGGTAACATATGTAACAACGTCTTGTTGTTGGCTCTTCACTGGTGCATATATTTTTTTGCTACTTGTATATGTTGAAAGCATCAATCTGAGCCATACAGATTCTCGACATGCTTCATGGAGCGTAATAATTTTGGCATGGCTTGAGCAAGCGGCGACCAAAATTTGTTGTTGGAAATGCCACGTAGTTGTTGTTTTGCGATATATATTTATATAGATCATCTATCTGCAAAACCAACTAAACCAAACTCGGGGTTTCTAGAATAAAATAAACCCAAGTCAATCGTACCTTGCAGATAGTGGAAGACACATTTGAACTCATTCAAAGGTCTAGTCGGAGAAAATGAATTAATCCTGCAAGTAGATCAGTAGCAAATGCTAGGTACAATATATTCACTAGATATATAAATGCTCGTCAGCATTTATATATGCTAGCTACAATTCACAAAATATATAAATACTCGTCAGCATTTATATATAGTGTTTCATGATCAAATATATAGAGTCGACTTCCTTTAGAAGTGACTAATATAACATCTCTTTCTTTGGATGTTTAGTTGGAATATCTGAAGACACTTTTTTCTTTCCAAGATCTTTTATTCCAAATAACTCTTCAAGAGTTTAGATAATGTTCAAAAACATCATGCTTATAAGTTCCCGGGAATATAACTATGATATCATATATCTTTCAGGGATTAGTCCTACAGACATCCCATGAGGCGCAATTCAAGTCATTTATTCATCAAT